CCAAAAATAACATTTCTATTGGAATCCAGCGGAAGATAAATAGTAATCTATTATTCTCCTGTCGACAGTTATCTATATTTAATCACAGCGTGTCGAGGCAAAGAGTAATGATGCAATAACACACACACACACACACACACACACACACAAACAAGTACAGGAAAATTCCATTCAAACGCTTATTTAATTATAATTATACATACTTATATTAAAATATATTCATAAAATATATCGAACATCAGAGACCATCCGCAGGTTTTGAATTCAGAGTTGTCCTTCTCCTAGACCAGTTGCCATCCATGGCTATAGAACCCAGTCTCTCATGCTATTTACCCATAGCTGGAGGGAGAAGAAGGATTACTATCTTTCCTAAGGGTATTAATACACACACACACACACACACACACACACACACACACACACACACACACATATATATATATATATATATATATATATATATATATATATTGATTTTCTAAGCGTAGCTTAGATGTGACACAAGGCTGAAAGTATGGGGCACTCAGTGAGGAACGAACTCACCACTCAGTCACAATTGTTCTAGCAAGACAAGCTTGTCAACCATTACTCCGCCTCGAGGTGCCCCCTATATATATATATATATATATATATATATATATATATATATATATATATATATATATATATATATATGGTGGTGGACTCTCCCGTCGTATTCGATGTGTGAGAGTCAAGTATCTCAGTTCCTAGGAACCGAAAGCCCAGACATCTGCACATATGATTTGATTATAGTGGTGAAGGTTTTGTGCAGAACCATCCACACTTTTTGAATGTGCCGAATAGAGGCCTGGTGCACTAAGTGCCACAAGGTCCCCAAACTAACTTAACCCAGTCTCTCATACTATTTACCCATAGCTGGAGGGAGAAGAAGAAAGATGCCTCTAACCTACAGCGGTAGGTCCTACAGAAAAGAATGGGAGTGCAAGAGAACTAGAAAACATTAGCCAATGTAGAACGTAGAGATACTAACAACGATTGTGTGCCTTTCGTTGAGATCGTCAAGTGGATCACCTGACAGCCGGCGAATAATGTCAGGTGACAGAGCGACGATTGGCAGTTGCGGTGTAGAGCCTGGAAAAGAAAGATGTCTGTAGCCCACAGCGGTAGGTCACAGGGGAAAAAAAAGAAGGTCTAACTAGGTTCATAGAGAAACGGACGTAAGTCTAGTTTCCTTTCGGGAAGTATTACGATTAAGATTCCCCTTTTTTACACACCATCATCCTTTGACCTCCCTATGGTTGGTCGGAACTCCATTGACAATGCCTTTTCCACACATTTCGGTCCTGTATTGCTGTCCCCAGATCCCCAATGTCCAGCTCTGGATCATGAGCTATGAAAGTCAATTTTTGCGAGAAGACACTTCCAGAAGGATGCCAGAGGGGTAAGGAAGACAGAATTTCCCTGTCCTCTCGGTGGCAGTGTCCGGCAAACTGTAATGGTTTTTGTTTGAGCTTGAGAGAGACAAGATATAATCCCTTCTTCAAAGAAAAGGAAGAGATAAAGATAAGTATGAATATGAGGATGATATAGAAATGAAAAAAGGGAAGACCAGATGTGAATTGCTTTAACCAATGAAACTCATATAGGTCATATGAATATATATATATATATATATATATATATATATATATATATATATATATATATATATATGATTTTCTTCCGATTGTTACAGACATGCGTTCAAGTACCACAGAATGCCAAACATTTGTCCACAGTTCATTATTCTTGCTTTAGATAACTTCGTAATCCGTTTTGCTATGCCAAGGATTTTCCAACAAATATGAGTAAAAAAAATAACTATTTTTGTTAATCGAACAACAAAAATGATCTTCAGTTAGAATTTCAAAAAAGAATATTAATACTATTTTTCACCAACCGTATCTTCTTCTAACTACTCTGGCCCTTCAAAATGTGAAGGTCATTAGTCTCCACAACCTCCTATCCCTAGAGACTCTAAGCAGCATTCCCCACTTTGCTAAGAGCCTCCGCCATTCGTTTTGCCATATACACACGCTCGTCATGTAGGTGTACAGCTACCCATCCCGATCTCTCTTGCCCTCAATATGCCCTCTGAGAGTTTTCTAATGTGCCCAGAAAATTTCAGCTGTCTGTTTCTAATTCTGAGTATCTTCTTTACGTTTTCTGTTTCCTTAGCATGTAGGCGATCATGGCTCTCCACAACTTCGTTTCCCTTATTGCTCTTAATAAACTTTGTCTTTCTGTTCTTTCTCCTAAGCTCTGTTCCGCCATAAATATACAGAGTCTGATCACTATTCCAATGTCCTTACAAGATGCTCTCAATTATCTCTCCTCGTCTTACAACATCCTCATACCTCTTGAGAGGCGCAGTATTTATAATATCAGGAATACCCTTCAAGCTCACCAATTATGTTATGCGTTGTTTTCCTCTGTACCGTTTGTCCTCTATCTGTCCCGTGAGTATCAGATTTTCCAAGCCCGCTTTCCTCATCATGTGCCTCAGAAACCTCAACTGTCTCTTCCTGAAGGTTAAATATTAGTTTCCTTTTTGTATCCATTTTCTCCAAAACTTCATCGTTGCTTATATGTTCGGCCTACGGTATCCTCGGCATCGTTTTGTCGAAGCACATTTCTGTTGCTTCAAATGCATCTTATTTTCCTCCATGTTGAAAACAGATTTTGTAAATGAGGATGGCACGGATTAAAACACGAATTCATTTTCCTGTATGATAAAAATATGCTAATTGCTTATATTCCAGTGATAACACGTAGAATTCACTGATTTCTGAAAGAATAATAGTCCTGACCTTATTTGTGAATTTGTTTAAAGATACATTCTGCTAAGTAGGATAATACAAGGGGACGTAGAGAAAGCAAGAACAAAAGAATGCAGAAAAGCAAAAGCAAAATAATTTTAAAATACATAAAACGAAAACGGAGGGGGAAAAAAAAGGCAGAAAATAAATAAAAATTTCCGTTGAAAATTTAAACTATTGATTTCCTCTTTCACACGCGTTTCTGATATTTCTAATCAGGGAAAGTCGAAGCCGTCGGGTGAAAGGAAAGCGTGAAAATGTAGAAAGAAGTTAGCTAAGGCTAAGAGAGAGAGAGTAGAACGTGGTAGGGGGGGGGGAAAGAGAAAGAAAGGAAGGGAAACGACAGAAGTGGTGGGGAGGAGGAAAGAGGGCGGGAGAAAGTTGCGACGGAAGGATGAAAGTTGAAATTGAAAGTTTAGAAAGAGTGAACGGAAAATGGGTGAAGAAATCAATGAAGAAAAGCGGAGAAAAAGAGAAAGAAAAGATGAAGGTTGGCGAAATAGCATAAAAGAAAGAATTTGGGAGGGAAATAAATGAAGAAAAACCCGGGAAAGTAGAATGACATTGAAGAGGATAAGAAGAGTAGGAGAAGATGAGAATAAAAGAGTAGGAGACTTAATCGAAGATGCTGCAACAAATGATTGCGAAAATGAAGCACACATTTGAATGCTTTTGGATTTTAGTCATTAAAAATTAATAATCCAATGAAAATTTGTTTTTAACACTTTCGCTGCTGTGGACGTAGTTATACGTCTTCTAAAACTTCAGTCGTCTGCTGTTATTCCTTTGTATTTTGTATTTTTCTTCTTCTTCTTCTTCTTCTTCTTCTTCTTCTTCTTCTTCTTCGTTGTCACCGTCAGCATTTTCTTCTTCTTTTTCTTTGTCTTTTTCTTCATATTTTTGCCCTTTTCCTTCTTCTTCTTCGTCGTCGTCTTTTTTCTTCTTCTTCTTCTTCTTCTTCTTCTTCTTCTTCTTCTTCTTCTTCTTCTTTGTATTCTTCTTCTTTTCAATGTACTTCTTCTCCATTATATTCTTCTTATTATTCATCGTCGTCTTTTTCTTCTTCTTTTCTTTGTCTTCTGCTTTGTCTTCTTGTCCTTTTCCTTCTTTTTCTTTTTCTTCTTCTTCTTTTTCTTCTTCATGATCATCTTCTGTTTCTTCTTCGTCGTCGTCTTTTTCTTCTTTTCTTTGTCTTCTGCTTTGTCTTCTTGTCCTTTTCCTTCTTTTTCTTCTTCTTCTTCTTCTTTTTCCTTCTTTTCTTCTTTTCTTCTTCTTCTTTTCTTCTTCTTCTCCATTCTCATCTTCTCGTTTCTTCTTCGTCGTTCTTTGTCTTTTTTTCTTGTCCTTTTCTTTTTTCTTTTTCTTTGTCTTCTTTTCCTTCTTTTTCTTTTCGTCTTTTTTCTTCTTCTTTTTTCTTCTTCTTGTCCTCATTCTTTTTTCTTTTTCTTCTTTTCTTCTTCGTCGTCATCTTCTTTTCTTCTTCTTTTCTTTTCTTTGTCTCTTTCTTCGTATTCTTGTCCTTTTCCTTTTTCTTCTTCGTCGTCGAAGTCTTTTTCTTTGTCTTCTTGTCCTCCTCCTCCTCCTTCTTCTTCTTCTTCTTCTTCTTCTTCTTCTTCTTCTTCTTCTTCTTCTTCTTCTTCAGGAAGTAGCAAATAACCTACCTAACGAGCTTGTGGAAATGTATGACGACATAACAGGGATTTTTTTTTTTAAGCGTTTCACCCCAAGCAAGGCGGGAAGCCACTAAGACGCAAGGGGTTACAGAAGATTTGGAGCAAGATCAGATAGGAGTGATAGAGGAAAGGATGAGGAGAAGGATAGTGGATAGATCAAGACAACTGGAGATGTCGATTGACATTACATTTGAATAGTTGGAGATTATAGCTCTCAGGGAAACTGGAATAGGGAAGGGAGTTCCACAGGCGAGAGGTGCGAGACATGAAGCTATTGGAGTAGAACAAAAAAACGAGACTTACTAAGAGCTACACAGGACAGGAAGTTGTGGAGAACCATGATCCGCTACGTCCTGAAGTGACACGTCGCATAGAATAAGAAGAATTAACATATCCTTCCCAATGATATTTACGCGTAAGTGAATATAACGAACCCAACTGGAACTGGAACTCGGCTCTCCGATTAACAATTACGAAACGTTATCCATTACAGCACCTGGTATTCCCAAGCGGTCACCCATCTAGGTACTGACAAGGTTCTACATTCCTTAACTTCGGTGATCGTACGCAAACCTGTGTTTCAACGTGTGGAAATTTATTTATGCCTCAGCAAAAAATATTCTGTCAACATTCATTAAAAATGTGCATAAAAATGAAAAATAAATTAACTTTATAAGGAGAGAAATATCTGCCTATATCTCTGAGATGAGGTATTATGATTATTTACATTATTCAGGCTGTTATCCTCATTGCCATATTCACAACGTTTCGGCCGTTGTACGCTCCGGCCTTCTTCAGGTGATTGGAATCTCGCACCGAACTCTTTATTTCGTCCACCGGGGTAGATTGTTCTTGTTCCACGTACCATGCCTCTTCCGGGTGTCTCAGTTATTTCCCTTTAACTCAAATTGCCTATTTTTTGGTGGGGGGGTCATCACTACTGTAGCCTGGTATTGAACTCACAAGTCTTTTGGTCTAGTCACTGGATTTGACCAACGTCGTTATCGACTGGGCCATGCATCCTTGAAGACTTGGAGAGTTGAATGAAAAGGACGTAGACGCAGTCAGAGACTGCGTCTACGCTCCCCAACCAACTTCCGTGTTTAGTATTCATGAGAGGAGGAAGAGTTCATTGCCACAACAGAAAGGTATGAATACTCTTCTTCTCCACCCGCCAGCTATAGTATTTATATATATATATATAGTATAGTGATTTTCTAAGCCCGGCTTAGATGTGGCGCAAGGCCGAAAGCATGGGGCACCCAGGGAGGATCGTACTCACTACTCAGTCGTAATTGATCTTGCAAGACAAGCTTTCTAACCATTACACCACCTCGAGGTGCCCAACTTAGATGTGGCACAAGGCCTAAAGTATGGGGCATCTAGTGAGGATCGAACTCACTTTTCACTTGTAACTGATCTAGCGAGACAAGCTTGCTAACCATTACACCACGCCGAGGTGCCCATTATATATATATTTCGTATATATTTATTTATGCCATATATACATGTTTATAGATCACATCATGATCATAACTCGTGGTATTTACTATAGCGATTTTATAACTCAAAAATAATCTTTTCTCATCTAGGTACAATCGGCTTTAACGGACCACCCCTTCTATTTGTCCGTTGATGAGGGGTTTGTCAACCATTTACAGATGACAGGACTTGTCACATGCAATGCTAACGAATGCTGATAACAGACACGTTAAATTCTTGGATTTTATATCACAGAAAGCAGTTTCTGTTGTTGAATAGTAGGGGATTACAAGAGAATCCTATTTTTGGCAGCATTAAGCATTCTTTATAAAAGAATCTTGTGTGCAGAAGAAAGAAATTCTTTGAATATTTTTACATGTAAACTTAAACCTAAGCTTTAAAACTTTGGAAGACATTGATTTCGTAGAATCTATGTTACTCGCCTGAAAGTGAACAGAACATGCACTAAAATCAGGCAGAAACCAGTTAAAGAATGGCACTTCATTGGCAGAACAAATTCGAATAAATCCGAGTTCTGTGTAAAAGAACAATTCTTAGCTAAATCTTTCTCTCCCACTTTCTCTATCCCGTTTCCCTCTGTTTTCTTCTCGCTTTTCATCTAGTCTCTCCTTTTCGTTTGTTCTACCCATACATTCTCTCATCTTGTCTACTCTCGCTCTGTCTATCCCTCTCGCACTCCTTTTCCATCTCTCGCAACAATCCTGATACATGAAGGACACCACGTCTTTCTACTTATCAAGGAAGATATTTTACTATCAGGTCATCCCATAAGTTTTGTCCGAATTTTGAATAAAGAAAACAAGTGACCAAATGTTACATTTAATTACAGATTCAATCAACAATGTATTTTCCCTGATTATCTATGACTTCCTTCCATCTATTAACAAGCTTACTAATTCCATTACTATAAAATTCTTTTGGCTTTGATTCAAAGAACTCACAAATGTCAGTTTTAACCTCTTCCTGTGTTACAAAAGCTGTTTCTTCCAAATGATTCTGTAAGATACGAAACAAATCGCAGTCTGAAGGAGCAAGATCAGGAGAATAAGGTGGATGAGTAATTTTCTCTCAACCAAGTTCTTCGATCTTTTGTGACGTGATTCTTGCTGTGTGGGGTCGCGCATAATTGCTGACAGTATATTTGAGCATTAATTGTTGCATTAGGTGGTAAGAATTCAAAGTGGATTATTCCTTGGCGATCCCACCAGATTGAAAGGAGAACCTTTTGCCCAGGAAGTTCCCTTCTCGGCTGTGGCTGGGGTACTTCCCCTTTACCAAGCCACTGTCTACGACGCTTAACATTTCGATAAAAGATCCATTTTTCGTCGCCAGTCAAAAGTCTATCCAAAAAAGGTGAAACAAGTTGGCGAGAATGGAGAGAAGAGCAGATGTCAACTCGGGATTGGAGGTTGTATTCAGACAATTCATGAGGCACCCATTTTCCAAGTTTAGGAACTTTTCCAAGTTGTTGAAGATGACGATGAACAGTTGTATGGTTTGAACTGAGAACCACCGCCAATTCCTCAACTGATAAAGCAGGATTTCTTCAAGGGCTGCTTCAAGAAGCTTTTCATCAAACTCAACTGGACGTCCGGTTTGATCTTCATCTTCAAGGGTGAAGTCTCCCCCTCTGAATTTTGCAAACCATCTTCTGCAAGTTCTTTCATTCACACATTCCTCTCCATAAACTGAGTGAATGTTTCTAGCCTCTTCGGCTGCTGAGTTTCCTTTCTTGAACTCATAAAGCATTATGTGCCTCAAATGATTCTTGGGTACTTCCATGTTAGAAGGGTTTTAATCAAACAAAATTTAATTTTATTGTTCTCTGAAATAAAATTTGATCAGTTTAAATGCATCTAAACATAAAAATAATGTTCAGCTCCATGAGACATTATAAAATACACTTTAAATTTCGTTCATTTTGACAAAAAAAGTTAAAATTCGGACAGAACTTATGGGATGACCTGATAAAAAGAGGTTTTAATACCAGAAATACTTTAAAAAAATTATTACCAGCAATAAATTTTTGATGAAAAAAAACAAACTACCAATAGCAATACATTTTTGGAAAAAAAAAATAATAATAAATAATCTAACAAAAAAAACCTTCCCTAATATAGAGAAATGATATTTCTCTAAAAAAAGAAACTCGTTAAGATAATATTGTAATTATTTTGACTGAAAGCATTAAACATGTCATTCATAAAAATAAAAATAGTTCGAAATTCATTTAAAAAAATTAATCTTAAACATTTTAAATCCAAAATATATATTTTGAAAATTAATCTAATATTTTATGCATAGAAAATCTTGTTTTGATTCTTACAGGCAACTAGACTAGTATCAGATGTGCAAGTTTAGAAGCTGATTCGTGCCTTTGGAGGTCGATGGTACTTTTCTGTATTTATATTCTATTAAATTACATTTCAGATGTAATCAGTGCTAAACGCATTAGACACAAGTAGACGAACAGATGAACTGGTATCAATTCAATTGATTCAGTCTACACCAAACTTAGCTTCTTTTCTTTTAGTAGGAAATTAAGTGGGAAAATATAATCAAAACAGTGAAAGAGAAGTTGAGAAGATATAATGAATTATCAATCCAATGGTAGAAAGAAAAGATTACAGAACTTAAATGATTTTGGCAGCATTTGGGAGGATTTTCATCATTAAAAAACGGTTCTGTTTTACTTTACCGGGCAACAGAACAATTTACTACCACATCGATATATGTAATGTTATAATAAAAAACTTCCAGATTCTGTTATCGTGGTCATCTACCTATTGTCTTTGCTAAGGTTAGAGAATCTTTTTATCATATCAACTCCTGTTTGCCGTCCTGGGCATGACGATAAATTACATCCGCGTCCTGGCAACAAGGCCTCTGATCAGGAGGTTTTGAGGGTCGTGGAACCAGCTCTTTATTGCTGATGTTCCCAGGTCCACCCTGAACCGAGGTGGTAGCACCTGTTAGGGTCCCAGCTATGGGCAAATAGTTAACCCCGAAACTAGGGTAAAAACACTATGAAATTGTAAAAAGAGGTTTTAATACAAGAAATACTTTAAAACATTATTACCAGCAATAAATTTTTGAAGAGAAAAAAAAACCAGCAATACATTTTTGGGAAAAAAAATTAACAACAATGTTGTTAAAAAATAAATATCACTAGCAATACATTTTTGAAAAAAAAAATATTACCAGCAATACATTTTTGAAAAAAATTATTACCAGCAATACATTTTTGGAGGAAAAATATTACCAGAAATAGATTTTTGACAAAACAAAATATTACCAGCAATAAAAATTTTGTCGGCATTAAATAACCCATTGAAGTTGATATGCCGTAAAACAAAACAAACTAAACCAACTCCTGTTAGGTTAATTAATATCTAAATCTGTTTTTATTATAGTTGAGTCTATGGCAACCTTTGGCACGCGTGCCAAACATGTTACGCCGATGACTTCTCTTTGGCACGCGAAACTTATTCATTAGATTCCATTTTTGACTGACTTTCCTCTTTCATGTATATCCTTCAAAATTGTACAGAAATGTCACGATCCAATGATATTAGAGAATTAAATATATTTTATGCCTTTAAATTCCTTGAGGAACATAGGACCGCAAAATATCGTAACGGTTTCTATAACAAGCCAGTTTTTAAGGTTATTGACTACTGCATAATCTGGAGGATTAAGTTTTGAATTCAGAGTTGACCTTCTCTTAGATCAGTTGTCACCCAAGGCTACAGGACACGATCTTTCCTGCTTTTTACCCATAGCTGGTGGGAGAAGAAGAGGATTCATACCTTTTCACAATGGTATTAGCACGTAAGTGAATGCAATGGATTCGACTGGAATTCGAACTCGGCTCTACCGATTCCTCAATCTGAGTCGCTATCCATTACTGAACCGTGATTCCTTAGGGAATTAAATACTAGACTGAAAAATTTGGCATGATTAAGAAAGATAATAAAGCTTTATACATTTTATGTTCCGAAACAATCTTTTGTAGGACTTCTTCTATAAAGAGACATTTTGAAAGTGTTCATAAGAACTCAATCAATAAAATGGAGGAGGAAG